TATATATATATATATATATATATATATATATATACTATAAAGTTTAATTTAGTCCACGGACTATTACAATTTTTTTTTTTTTTGTAAAAGGAAATTTCTTACTTTGGTCAAATCCATTTGACAAATTCTTAAATATGAAACAAACAATATAATATGTAGTTTCATGCATGAACAAGTATGCAATTCTGAATTGATCTCTGGGCTGATGGATCCTTTACCATAATGTAGAAACATAAAGAAGGAAAACTTTCCAATAAACAAAACAGAGGGCCAAAACATATATTCCTATAATTTAAAGTTACTAGAATCACCCAAAGGTCAAAGTTACGTGTAAGTTTTGAAAATCATGTTTGAGCTTCCAATCAAATCATCCAGGAAGCATGTGAAGTTTAGTAGGTGAGACAGCTTCTTTACATGGGCACACAAAAAACTTACCCCTTTCCTCATTCAATTCTCAGAATCTAGCCAGAATGCCACTTTCATGATAAAACCAACTTGCTGAAAAGAGGAGAGAAATCAAGCAACTTGGAAGAAAACACCAGGCATGACAAGTAACATGTTGATGGTGGCATTCCTCATATTGATGTTGATTTCATCAACCACCCCAACAGAAATTGATGCAAGGAACCAAGACCTAGTTGCAGCCACTAGGGAGATGCAAAGGGCAAATTACTTCACATTTGTAATGCTCATCAACATGTCTCCACTTGACACAAGACTTGAGGGGAATGTGACTTTCTTGATGCCAAATGATCGAATGCTAGCTAACATGGTCATGCAAGAAGGGTCAGTTTCTGGCTTCTTGCTTAGGCATTCAATTCCATCACCATTGCTCTTTGATGTCTTGGAACAATTCCCCACAGGGACCACTATTCCTAGTTCACTTCCAAATTGCATGCTAAGAGTCTCAAACAATGGTAGGAAGAATTATGTTATAAACAATGTGAAAATTATCAGCCCAAATATATGTGTAGGAGGGTCTTCAATTAGATGCCATGGCATAGATGGGGTTCTGTCAGAAGCATGTACATCAATAGGTAACTATAGTGCTCCTTTATTTTCATGTGTTAATAGCACAGAACCTTCATGTAAGGCCTCACCTCCAATTCCATCTACTTTCTCTTCAGCTCCTCCTCCTACTATGGACAACCTTAATCCTTATGCAACAGCACCCAATGTTGGGCCACACAGATCAGGGTCTCCCCATTTGCTGTCTAGTGATGGATCATTGAATTTTGTAGTGATGATGTTGTCACTTATAGGAATCTACTTTTGAACCAAACATATTGATGACAAACTTATGCTGATTGTTGAATTAGGGTGCAAAGGATTCATTATTTTAAGCCTATTGATTTTATTATAATTGGTATCTATCTGGTAATAATTTTTATTTTATTTTTTTTAAGGTGTTACGAAATGCTAGTGTTTAGTAGGTACTAGAAACAATTTACTGTTTCAGTCAATTAAACAGTACGCGGATAATACACTTAATAAATACATTTGTTATGTAATTTATTAGTGGTGCTATTGTTAATTATCAGTAATTTTAATTCATCTAGTTACTCATCTAAAAGAAAAAGAGAGAGAAATAAGTGGATTCATGGTTTTTTAAGTATATTTTAAGAGGAAGCCTATTAATTGAGCTAATGTTATATTTTAAAAATAGTGATAATTTTTAACTTTAAAGCATCAATTTAAAGTCCTTTTTACTTATTTAAAATGTTAAACTCTTTACATTAAATTCACAAATATAAAAATTGTGAAGTTTAATTAATATTAACAAAATCATAAATAAATAACATAAAAATTTATGTGTAGAGTAACTGTTAAATGAAAAAGTAATATCAATTTTTTTTTGTTAGACTCACTTTTCATATGGTTTATTTTTAATAGAAGTTGTTGACTTATATAAGTTATCTTATCCTACATTATATATGCCTCGATCATCGCCGGTGATTAGGTGGGGTGGGGACTTCTTGTAAGTTCTCAGCTCAATTCTTAAAAAAATTTATGCATGGTAACATAAATGTTCTAAAAGTTTTACTTAAAAAATCATTTATCACTAAATTAGTCATTTAAAAAATCATAATCTTTTATCTTAGATTATTAAGAAAATTAATTAGCAATAAATTAAATCTTCAAGAAACTAATGTAATGATTAAATATACTGAAGGTTAAAGAAAAAAATCATCGTCATCATTGCCACTCACTAACTGCTTGGCCAAAGTCACTCACTCACTGTACCTCACCAGCAAACAACCACGCGAAAGGTGATTGAAACTTTCTGATGCACATATCTCTGCCTAAAATTAATTCATAAAACATAATTTGGGTACTTGGATTGAGCATTTTTCACAATGTCTAAAATATAAAAAGTAGATGCTTTAAAAAGAAATTACAAAAATAGAAGTGAGACAACCCAAAAGAAAATACACAAAAGGGATGTGTATCTTCTAAAGCGAGTAATTTTAGTCAACAATGAAAATTTCAATTATTAATAGTAAATACCTTTTTACTTTTTTGTTTTCTTAAAATAATATTTGATTATAATAATGATCTTAATCGATCCGCAGCGCTATAAGGGACAATGAATCAAGTGACAGAAGCGAAGGGAGCACATTAAGAAAACAATCACCCACCATCACGGAATCCCAAACCTAATAGCGGTTTAAATTAAACGTTTTAAAAATAAAAAATAATAGAAAAAAGAACTCATAAATGTGCTGTGAAAATAAAAAATCAGGGTTGACGAGGGAGAAGGAAGAAAGACACAATGTTTTTCGTTTCGTTTGTTCCTCGGAAGTAAAAGGGAACGACACTGTAAAGATCCTTCCCCAACCACATGCTGCTGCAGCGCCTTGTTTGGCACCAACGCTAAATCTAACCCGCATTCCCCTCACTCATTAAGGCCTCATCCAAACAACCCCTCCGCCTCAGATCTCGCCGCGAAATGGATCAGTTGTCGGCGATCAGCGAGGACCTGGCCGAGATCGACGGACACGTCGCCGACAATTTCCGCGCCCTATCGTCAGAACCTTATTCTCCACATTTTCTCTTTTTGTCTCTTCCTATGTTGTTTTCTCATTGGTTTTTGTTGCTGCAGAAATGGATTTCAGAAGTTGGAGAAGATTAAGGATTCCAATAGACAGAGCCGGCAGTTGGAAGACCTCACGGAAAAAATGCGAGATTGTAAACGGTAATTTTCACATTACACATTTCTTTTCGATAATGTTGTTGTTTATGATTCACCATTCACGTGTTGGTATTGCGTTTCTGTGTCGCATTGATGCAACCTATGTGCAAGAGAGGCATAGATTGTTCATGTTGTTGGCTGGTTGTCGCATGTCACAATTTTCAGATCTGAATTGAAAATTAAAATTCATTTCCTGAAATTTTGATCTGTGTTCAAAAGCCTGATTATATGATTTTCCTGAAATCGTTTGGCATTGGAAGGATACATTGGATTTGTGGTTTTGCCGTGGCTGCTTACTCAAGTGTGTGTGGTTGGATCTAATTTTGCAGGCTTATTAAGGATTTCGATAAAGAGATCAAAACTTTGGAGGGTAGCTTTGACAGAGAAACCAACAAAATGTTGAATGAGAAAAAACAGTCAATGGTGAGATGATTAAAGATTCTTTTTTTCTCTGCTGATACCTTAATTGCTACTTCTTCATATTTTGGGTTTATTAGTTTCCATAAATTATGCACAACTTTTATCAATGATACTGACAAGCATTTTCCATTTTTGTTGCAGATCAAAGAGTTAAACTCATATGTTGCTTTGAAAAAGCAGTAAGTGAAAACATCATATTAGTTGTCAATCTTAACCTGTTTGGAAGGCATAGGTTTTTCTTGCTTGTCTTCTATATATCTTCAGCTTTCTTAACATGTCTTCAAAACTCATTCTATTTTGGCATGAGTGGGACGTATTCCTTGATAGCATTGACCAATTAGTGAATGTGTAATGTGTTATATTGCAATGCAGGTTTGCTTCAAATATTGAAAACAAAAAAATTGAACTCTTTGAGGGGCCCAGTGAAGGTTTTGCAGAAGAAAATAGCTTGCTAGCATCCTGTAAGCGTGCTGATTTCTTCATATTGGTTATGCTAGTATTCATGTATATTGATAACATGTTCTCTGCGGTCAAATAAATGAAAGTCCATAACCATTTTTGTTTTACTAACTGTGACATTATTGATGTAAGTCATAGAACAGATCGAGTATATTATTTTTCATTTGTAGTTCTTATGTTAGAGCTGTGCTTCTTGTTATGCTTGATTTATGTGACTCATGGTTGTATTATTCTAGCGAATATTGATGCAATCAAAAGGGAGCTTGAACAAAAAATGTGGTCAGTAATCAGTTTGAATGTAGTCTTTATCGTTACAGTGAAAGTGACAAATGAGAAAAGGATTATCATGCATCTGCTATATTTTATATTGGGAGATAGTCTTGGTATGCTTTGGCATTCACATAATTGACTGTGTGTGCTGTTTGCTCTAAGTTTCTGTCTGGCCCTGCTTTGCACCTTTTCATTTTACGAGAGATGTTTTTCCAAGTTTTTCTATAGAAAGCTTAGTTAGAATTGGAAAGAAATAAATTTGTCTAAAAAAGCATTTTTGCATCTACTTTTGCTTCCTTGTGGAAGTGCTAATTTCTTGCCTGCTCTTTTACTGGCATATTTTCTTCCTTTTATCACATCTAAATTTTGGTCATCCTCCTAAAAGTGTCAAAAGCTGCTTTAAAAATAAAGTAAAAGCAAGCTGTTGTGGATTTTGTAGCATGTGAAATATATTAAGTTGTTTACTATTGTGGTTAATGTGACCATTTATGACTATTACAGCAATGACAAACGAACAGCTAATGGATCGTGGGAATCATATGATGGATGAGACAGATCAAGCCATTGAAAGGGGAAAGAAGGTTCGTTTATTTCTTGAGTATCCCTTCTTTTAAAATATGCTCAGTGTACACAAATTTGTTTATATAGTTTGCCATTGTATTTTTCTAGTCCAAGGAGCCCAGAGGGAAATGATTGGCTCCACATGTTTCACCATAATTAGAAGGTTATGAAAATACAGGGGCCTAAATCATTTTTACCATCTTTCTGGTCTTGTCCTATTCATTTGTCCTGCTTTGGTCTTGTTTGTTTATCTGGCACTTGCTTGGCATTTTGCTTCCTACAATATCTTTGCTACATGTTCTTCCTCAATTAAATTTACTCATTCTAAATTGTGTTTTAAATTGACATTATGCTCTTGAAGCATTTCTGTCCCAATCTTCGATTTGTTTGTTTCCATTTTTTTTATCATCCTCTATGTTAGAATTCTTCTATCTCTTCAGGGCATTGTAAAATCACAAAATCAGTGCAATGAAGATGAAAAAGTGTGGATGAGAAAAAATAGTAATCCTTTTTCACGGTCAAAGGATGCATATTTTTTTTACTTTCAGATGACTGTAAGTTTTGTGTGACATAGTATATTCTAATATTAGACCAGATGTAGCAAATGACGGAGAAGTTAAGTTATCAATGCACATTGTTGGATTTATGTGGAATGGAAAAGATGTGCATTTTATGTGTAAGTAACCTTAAGGCCACAATTCAACTTTCTGTCCCTGAAGTTTGAAGGACAGAGGAAGTTGTGAAAGAGAAATGAAAAATTCTAGATGATGTTTAATTTGATGTTCTGGACATTTAACTTTTGCTGTCATCCTGCGGGGAAAAAAGGGGAAGTTTGCTGACAGAATGTTTATTGCTGTGAATCCCTTTGCATTAATAGGTAGTTCAAGAGACAATAAATGTTGGTACAGAGACTGCAGCAGCTCTTAAGGCTCAGGTATGAATCTTATGCATAGTCCCCACACACCAGAATTAATAGTTATTAGAGAGAAGAAAAAACAGGAAAAAAAACTTGAATTTGACGTGGGAACTAAGGGTACACTCTTCTATGTTTAGACGGAACAAATGAGCAGAGTTGTCAATGAGCTGGATTCAATTCATTTCTCTATGAAGAGAGCCTCTCAATTGGTCAAGGAAATCGGTAGGCAGGTCAATTTCTACAGAATCCACATCATTTTATTACAATATAACTACTATATGAATCATTCATCTAACTTATAGTTGTTTTTATTATAGGTTGCTACTGACAAGTGTATTATGGTGCTACTTGTTCTTGTTGTCATTGGAGTAATTGCTATCATTATTGTAAAGGTAAGAGAAGTTTACTTTTAAATTTTTATGGTTCAATTCAGAACTGTTTTCCTCTACTGTTGTATTTCTAGGCGAATTTATTGTGCTTTTGGTGTTCTTTTTACTCATGATAGAAATTGCTGGGCAACATGTGTTAGCATTTATGTTGCATATGGATCATAATATATTTATTTACTGGTTAACCATGAAAAAGAACTTCCATTTCCAAGTCTTCACTGGATAAAGATTTTGATGGCCCTCTAAAGATCTATAGCTTCTAGTTTATTTAATACATAATGTGCCAAGGTTCATTTTTTTGTTATTGGTCCATGCAGCCATGTCATAATTATCATAAGAAATTACTCTCAAAATCTATTTGCAGTATGTTTGGGAAAAATGTTTTCACTGCAATAGAGCCAAAAAAACTAGTTCCAATACACTTTAATTGAAAGGAGTTTTGTACTTAATTTTAAACGAACACAACCTTGGTTGAGCCGGGGCAGTCAACAGGTGGTGAAAGAAAGTTCTAAAGATCTAATATATGTTATGAATGCCATTTTTATTTTTTGTAAAAAGTTTTATTTTACAACCTAGTAGAACTATATTCCAGAAGTTACGTATTGCCAAACTGGTTATTTTTACTAGTTAAAAAGTGCTCAGATTATTGACTTATTGTGCTGTCATTTCTTTAAAAATTTCAGCTTGTGCACCCGAACAATCAGGACATTCGCGACATTCCAGGATTAGCCCCTCCAGTTCAGAACCGAAGACTGCTTTGGAGTCACAGTTGAAGAACTAAAATGAAGATGGTGATGACTGATGAGCTTATGACAAATGCGTTGGGGACACTAAAGATTAAAATGAACATGTTTATGACTTCATCAGATTGATTTGATGCTCTTGGTTTGATGGTGGTGAGATTGGCTGCAGCTGTTGCTAGAAACAGAGTTGCCAAAAATTGAATTTGTTATTACATTATAGTAGAGGAGGGGTTGATTGGCCTGAGGCATGATAGAACGTGGGTCTAGGCATGCACGCATGATTTTGTCTTGAACTGAACCAGTTTTACTATATACACTTTCAGGTTCCGTCTATCGAATCATAGGAAAAGCCAAACAAATGGGCCCTCGAGATTATTTGTTGATTGTCTTGTTGTGAATCTTGTAATATACGGTGGCTTTTATCTGTATACCTTCGGTTCTTAAAAACTACCTAGTATCATAAGTATTATCAATTTATAATATAAGCACCGATTTATTTACGTTTTAGCCTTATAAATATTTAAATATGTCCCTATTATATTGTGTGTCACTACTTCAGATGTTCACAGCACAGCAACACACCTTGGTTGAGGTCCCAATGGTCCATCACCGTGATTGGCAACATGAGATTTCTTCATTGTGGAGCATGAGACAACATTCGTGGGTGCGAAACTATTACTTTTAAGGTGGTTCCTGTCTTGTAGTCGCTCCAAGCATGATTTCTTGATAGGGACGGTAATTTCTTTCAATTAACCGGGGATCCTTGTTCAAAGTGGTCCATTCGGAGTAACGAGTTTGATAACTTTTATCTTGAAGGACACTAACAAAAAATATTGGGATAACTAAGCTTTTAGTCTCGAACTTTTTGAAATTTCAGTTTAGTACCTAAACAAAAATTTGTATAGTCAGAGTTCCTTAACTTTTGGTACAACTGAAGAGAGATAGAGAATGTAGATTTAATAGGTTATATTATGATATATTTTTTCTCTCTTAGATTTAATTATCCTTTTAGGTGATATAGTTTTATGAATTTTACCTTTAGTCTATATAATTATTCTATTTTAGTTCATATATATACAACTATAGAAATAGATATAGATGACAGCCACTAAAAACAACTACAAATAACATGCATAGAAATTAAAATGAAACATTTTAAATTATACAAATTGAGAGGTAAAACTTGTGAAACAATCAAAAAATAATTTTATTATCATCAATTAAGTTTACCAACTTTATTCTTTAATAGACAAATTCAAATAGAAAATATGATGAAATTAACTTGAACTATCCTTTTAATTCTCTTTGATTAAAAAAAAAGGCTATGTACAAAATAAAATTATTATTAGCTGTTAGGCATGATCTTTTATTATAATTTTAATTAACAAAAATAATCTATTAATATAAATATTACGAGTTTACGTTATATTTTTTTTATACTTTATATTAAAAATAATATTATTAAGCCCGCACGAATATATATCAATTTCCCATATTACTAAATTCTCTATTAATATGATGCATGGTATTATTAATAATAATCGAAAGTATTTTTCCTACTATTA